ACAACATTTTTCGAACAGCTCATCGGTGGTTTCAAAATGGCCACCAGGTGATTAAAATGGCTCCCCGCTGTGTTTAGGGACTGATTCCTTGCTATACAGGCAGCGAAAATGGCCACCGTATGGAGGATCTTCGCTGGACGGTGATTTTTTACCCCATTGGAACAGATTGAACGGGTTTCAATGCGTTTCAATTGTTTGTTGTTGTTGTTTTTTTTTTTTGCCTTACGATGTTTTCACTTAATGGTGATTTTCCTGGAATGGATTATTGGAATGGATTATTCCTGGAATGGATTATGTATTATTCATTTTTCTACACATGGCTTCCCCATTTTGGCTTTATTTCTGTAAAATAAATAAGGACACAGTGCAATTTGTTACATGTTGTTCCTCTGAGTTTGCTTTTACTTAATTTTCAAACCTGCTATGGGCCTGATGATTTTTATTATATTCCAGCACATAAAGCCATAAAATTCAAAGAGGGTGTATTTTCTTTTTCACATGACTGTGTATGACTAATGATTCCTGTTACATTCCCTTTTCTGTACTACTGTTAAAGGTATAAGGGCTCTGTCTTTTTTCTAGCGTAGTCACCCTCAGTCAACATCTAAGTCAGTGGTTCCCAACCTTGGGTGCCCAGATCTTCTTGGACTAAAACTAGAAGCCTTTACCACTAGCTCTTGGACTAAAACTAGATCTTCTTAGACTAAAACTAGAAGCCTTTACCACTAGCTGTGCTGGCCAAGAGTTTTGGGAGTTGTAGTTTGAGAAAATCTGGGCACCCAAGGTTGGGAACCACTGCACTAAGCTATAACCCAGTGGTCCCCAACCTTTTGGGGACTGAGGACCAGCTGAGCCTCTGAGGAAGGTGGGGCACCCCCTGTGCTTTTGGGCATGTGTATGTGTGCACTCTCTTGGCCACATGCATGAAGCAGTAAGGGAGCGTGCACGTGCTCTTGGGCGTGTGCATGTACATGTGCACTCTCTTGGGCACATGCATGAAGCAGTAAGGGAGCGTGCACACGCCTGCCAGCACTGGCATGAGTGCTCCCCCACTCCTTCATGCATGTGCAGGAGCACCAGCCCGCATGCCCACCCGCCCACCCACCCCTTCACAAGGGCGCTTGGGTGCATGCATGAAGGGGTGGGGGTGTGCTCATGGCGGCAGTGGCACACGCACGCAACGGCTCAGGCCACGGATCGGCACTGGGCCATAGACCGGGGTTGACAACCTCTGCTATAACCCATTGCTGACACTTTTACTGAAGTTGTAGCTTTGTTATGAAGAACTCTGTTCTTGGAGATTACACTCAACAGATACTCATGAAAAGATGGTATTTTCTGTGCTTCACAATTCAAAACTTACATATATGTTGCTATAGATCCTTTTTTTGGTTTAAAAAGTGTTTAGTTTTTATAAGAAGGCAGAACTGCCTTTGGGGTAAGTCCGAAAGGCCCAGTCACCTAATGAAATGGACTATTCTTTTGCCAGTGCTATCTCTCTCTCCCTCTCCCTCTCCCTCTTCCTCTCTCTCTCTCTCTCTCTCTCTCTCTCTCTCATGCAACTCTTCATAAGACACACGTAATTTTTAGGGGAGCAAAACAGGAAAAAATATTATGGTGATTTCAGCCTGCTGGGCCTGTGGGGGGGGGATGGCCAGGTAGGGTCTGGGAAGGGAAGGGAAGGTGGTGATTTAGGCCCGCTGGGCCCACGGGGGGTGGAGGATGGCCAGGTAGGGTCTGAGAAGGGAAGGTGGGGATTTCAGCTCGCTGGGCCTGTGGGGGGGGGATGGCCAGGTAGGGTCTGGGAAGGGAAGGGAAGGCGGCAATTTTGGCCCGCTGGGCCCGCGGGGCATGCAGAAAGGCCAGGTAGGGTCTCAGAGGGGTACTGCAGGCATTGGTTCCAGCCTTCCTCCACCCCCACATGGCCGCACCGGGGCCAAAACCACCACCTCCCTTGCTTTCCCAGACCCTTCCCAGCCATCCTCCACCCCTGCGGGCCCAGTGGGCCGAAATCCCCACCTTCCCTTCCCAGCCATCCTGCACCACCCCCTGCGGGCCCAGCGGGCCGAAATCACCATCCCCTGTAGACCCCCGGGAGCTTACCTGGCCTTCCTCCACAGCTTTTTCCTAACGAAAGAGCTACCAAGAAGCAGCCTCTTTTGCCTCCTACAGTTAGAATTTAAATTGCATACTTTTTTACAGTATTTGCCCCATAAGACACACACACTCCCCCCACTTTTTTTGGGGAAAGTGTGTCTTATGGAGCGAAAAATACGGTATCTGAGAGACTTTGTGAAATTATTGCTTTTCCTATCAAATATTAATCCTTCAATTTATCTCTGTCCTGTTCTGCTTTTGGTTTTTGTCTTTCTAAACAATCATGCATTTTCAAAGCAATCAGGTTTAATTGCAGCCTCTGTTAGCACTGATAGAAACACAAAGATCTTAACTCTGGAAGGTTCCCAAAGAATGCCTTGCTGTGATCAAGATCTATTTTTCCTCTTTCTTTTTCTAAGCCACTTTGGTTAGCTCGGAAAAGAACCAACCGTTTCTCTTCAGCCAGTTTTTGAGTAAATTCAGGGGGTGGAGAAAGAAAGTAGACATGGTCTAGAGGGGTGGGTATAAATATAATAAATAAATAAAATAAATAAAAATCCCAAGCCCGGAAAGGTCCATTCCAGCCACACCTTCTCTAGGCAGCATTGAAGGTTGTAAAAGCTCCAGCAATTTCTGACTTGGTTGGTGAGGTAAGTTATCTTCCTATGGATCTGAAAAGGACTGAATATCTTTGCTATTCTTGCTCAGGAATCATATCAGGTTGGTTCTGGAACAGGGGGTGGTGGTGGTGATCATTGATTTTTTTGTTAAATTTATTAATCATATATGTCTTCCATTATTACAAAATTGGGTAGAAGGTTAAAAGCACTTCTGGAGAGCCAATACCTGTCATAAAATTGTAAGTCGCAACACATAGAGACACATATCCCTAACCAGCTGCTTGTTTCACTTGTTCAGCAAAGCTTTACTTACTGTATCACAAAATTTTATTACACTATTTCACTTCAAGAGATGTTTGTATACTTTCGTAAGCATGCTGCATATTTTTCTGTTTAAGATGTGTACTGAAGTTATTGCATTTTTACGCACTTCACTGGGTGGACTACATAGCATAACTTACATTGTGAATATCCTGTAGTTTCACATTTAAGTGCCTCAAGTTTCTGTGCTCCATTAACCCAGTGGCATAGTTTGATAAAGTTAATGACTGCAAGGAAAAAAATTCAGATGGCCTAGCAAAAGACTATATCAGTCTTAACTGTGCTTGGACAGCAATTTTTAAAAATCTTGTTTTATATTTTTAATTTAAAAGTTTGCTTTAGGGTGGATCCTAATTCAGGGCAAAGTGATTTGGGAGTCATGTAAGCAATCAGTGCCCTGGAGCCAACCTTGTAAATTTGAATTCATAGCTTCCCATTGATTTGCATCAGAAAGCAAAAGTAGTTGTAAGCTTTGTGTGTTTTGGCACTGGTGTACATGGAATTTGGAGACATGATAGAACATGAAAAGAGGAGTAAATCTGCAAATTTTCAGTTGGCTAGCTTGAGGGGTTTGCCTACTAGGTACCTTTACATGTTGTTTTTTAAAAAAGAAAAAAATTGCAATTCCAAAAGCATGTTCACTCGTCTGAGTATTCTGTATTGCGAATTCATGCTGATCTTGTTATCTCATTGTCTGTCTCACATGGGCAGCATCTTCTTAGAATCCATAAAAAACTCAGCATATGGCTGAAAAATTGTGCCAAAGAATAGCCAGTTCTTTTAAAAAGATTAAAAAAAACAAACAAACAAGGGTCAGTACAGTAGTCACTGGGCAGGTAGCAGTGTTTGACAGAGGTGGGCAGACAGAGACTGGTAACTAGTTAAATAAACTCTTTTGAAGTAACTGAAATATTTAAGGAGTAGTTTTTCACATGCACGCACGCACGCACGCACGCACGCACACACACACACACACACACACACACACACACACACAGAGTGAATTTCCATGGCTGAATTGGGATTCAAACCCAGGTCTCCTGTGTCCTAGTCTACTATTCTGTCTACTCTCTCTCTATCTCTCTTTTTTTAAAATCATAGACTGTAACGTCTCGTTTAAATGAAAGGTCTCGATATTTTGACCAGGCACTTTGTTCTTATTGCCATACTCACTATTAGAGGTGGGCATTGACCTCTAGTTTGGTGGTTTGGCATGATTTATTTCCTGGCTGAACAGCAGATACACATTTGGGTGCCCTGCCCCTTCCAATGTGTGCCCTTTCAGCGGCAGAGCCTGGAGGAGGTAGGGTGGGACACTGCCGCTGAATGGACACCCACTGGAGGTGACAGGGCATTGAACCCCAGATCAGTTGTTTGGTTGGAAACCACTCTGAGCCAGTGGTTCGTGTCCATCTCTACTCACTATAAACTCCTCTGAGTTTGCTTTGTTATCTTATTTGTGGTGAAGAATTTGAGGATCCTTTCTTATAATAATGTTTTTAAAGGTTTTTCACACAACCCTCTGATTCGTTTCCATTTACTTCACTTTTGTTTTGCACTGGAAGTGTTACCGAAGGAATATAAATGGCAACTTTTATTTGTTGAATAGGACAGAAATGTGTCATTTCAAATCAATACTGCTCCAGAGCTGCTTTTTTACAGAACTTTATACGTACTGTGATCCTTAGTCATGGCACATGGAGTAAAAAAAAGTCTTTATGGTCTGAGATATAAAATACATGCCAACAGTCAAAAGCAGATTCTTACACACTGCAAGAAAGATGCTGAAAATATTAAATGTACATTAATGCCCTTTACTATGCTACTGGATAATTCTTTCAAAACGATTGCCTTGTTATTTGTGGTTCAAAAATTTCACCATGGAATTATACAGATTTAATGCTAGAGACCAGCATGAAATACGTTCCACTGAAATCTATCTCTGCTGTTTGTATCTTTCAGAGAGTCATTTTTAACATTGTCAACTTCAGTAAAACCAAAAGCCTGTATCGGGATGGGATGGCTCCAATGGTAAAATCCACAAGCAGGCCTAAATGGTAAGTTAGCAAGTACTGTACTCCAGTTATTATAGTGTTTTTAGGTAAACTTCTGGACAGAATGTTTTTTGGAATGTCTGTTCTTTGGAGAATTTCATTTAATTTTATTAATTGGATAATTTTATTAAATTTGGCTCAGGCAACTCCAGTAGAGCCAGGAATGATGAATTAGCCACCCCGAGTGGACATGTTCTAGAGGGGTGGGGTATAAATTTAATAAATAAAATAAAATAAATAAATAGTTTTGAGAACACTTTGATTTTTGACCAGCATGTTATTGAATATTTGACGCAACTCAGGATGGCCCAAACTCTTTTGCTATGTCAAATGGGAAACAAGGTACCACCTCAAACATGGTAGCTCCGACTCTGTGTGTGGGCACATGCACACGGAGACAAACAGCTCCTCCCTGCCCATCCTGCAGTACAGATGAGGCAGTCTTTTACCTTCATTGAAGTGGTGGCAAAAACAACCGATATTATTTTAAGAAAGAGCCAGCTCCGTTGAGCCAACCTCGGGTGCAAGGCATCTGCCATATAGCCTTTTCCACCTTCTCTTTCTCCAGTCTACCTGTTTCTACTAGACAGCACACCCTCACTTTCTGCTCCCCTTCGCCTTTCGTTTTTGTGCAAGGATGGCAGTAATAACAGAGCTGCCCTTTCCTCTTCCTCTTCCTCCTTCCCTAAAATAACAATCGAGGTGGGCATATGGACACAAGGCATGAGGAATTTGCCCCCGAGATGACTGCCTAATGCAGCCTAATAGAAGTGTCAGCCTTGACTCTACTGGATACTTTGCTGAGAAAGGCTAATGGAAACTTCTTTTGGGCATGTATTTATGATGTATGTGTGGATCAGTTTGCCTGCTGTGTGAAATGGGGGAAAATTGGACACAAGATTGTATTTCAGGCATGTCAGAACAAGACAAGACAGTTAGAAAACACCAAGTTTAAATTATGTAACCCCATTTATTTTGAACAAATTTGGTAAGCCTGATTAACTAGAGTTTTAAACACCAAGATCATATAAAAGCATATTCTTTGTAGAATTGTAATAGATGCTGTCTTTGTAATTTTGTAATAACCCTACTGATATTCCAGCTGTTCCTGGTGATTTATTTCTTCCAGTTGCTTCGGGCATAGATTTCCTGAGAAACAGAATGGGATGATTCACTTGATAGGCAAATATTAGCTGTAGGGATTTTTCTTTTCCCTTCAGGCTCTACCATTGCACGCAAACAAATGGTTTCTCATTCTGAATGGCATCAGGTCATGTCAGGCATGCTCTGGGATTTTACGGATGTCTACTGATAACAAAGCATATGCTACTGTTATCCATCAACTATAACTACAGTGGTGCCTTGCATAACGAGTGCCCCGTTTAACGAAGAATCCGCATACCGATGCGGCTTTCCCCATTGCTAATGCGAGGGCATCCTCACATTGCGATGGGGGGACAGCTGTTTGGTGGTTCCAAAATGGCCACCGGAACACTAAAAATGGCCACCGGGACACCCAAAATGGCTGCCGCAACATGGGGAATCATCGGAGACCGGTAAGTTTTGGGCCCATTTGGAACGCATTAAACGATGGGTTTCCCCGTCCCACTTAACGATGTTTCCCCATAGCGAAGGTTAATCCGGAACGGATTAACCTCACTATGTGGGGCACCACTGTACAAGGCCTATGTCATTTTATATAAACCTTTTGTAAAGTGTGTGCGTGCATGTACTTGTGCAGTATTGGCCAACTCACCCATCTCTGGCTACCATATATGAAAACTGTTCTAATGGTCTTATTTACCTATGTCATGTCATGTCATGTCATGTCATGTCATTCATTCATTCATTCATCCATTCATACATACATACAGTGGTGCCCCGCATGACGGCGATAATCCGTTCCATTAAAATCGCCGTAAAGCGAAATCGTCATCATGCAAAAGTAAAAAACCCATTGGAATGCATTGAACACCGGTTAATGCATTCCAGTGGGGGAAATACCTGCTTGTTTTGTGAAGATCCTCCATAGGGAAAGCCATTTTTGATCACTGTCTTCCGGAAATAGGTCCGGAAAACAGTGGGGAGCCGTTTTGACAACCCAACGATCAGCTGTTTCTAATCATTGTGAAGCAAAAAAACGGTTCCCGAAGCAGGGAACTATTCATCGTTAAGCAAAAAACCCCATAGGAATCATCGTTTTGCGATCACTATAGCAATCACAAAAAGCTCATTGTTAAGCGATTTCATTGCGAAGCAGGGTCATGTTCAAGCGGGGCACCACTGTACGTACGTATGTGTGACGGTAGCGATGAGGTCATCTGCCCGTCACTGCTGTAGCTAGAGTTTATCTGCCTATAGCAGGACGGGAGGTGGGACTTCAGAGGGTGGAGCTATGGTATTTAAGGGGGGAGTGAATGAAGTGTGAATCAGATAGGGTTTGGATAGGGACCTAGGGTGTTAGGGCCTGTACATGTTATGAAGTACTGTGCTATATAGAGAGTGAAGGTCTGAGAGAGAGGGTGTATGAGGGGATACTTTATTATTTCAGATTGCCTTTTATTTTAGTTGATAAAGTGATTTACCATTCCTTTTGTTCTTATAAATAAACATAAGTTTTTATTTTAAAAATCCATACAGTTGCCTGAGGAGTCAGTTGAGTGTATGGTTGGTGGCAGTGTGAATAAAGTATGTGTATGTGAGAGTGACGTGACACCTCCTTTGTGACGTGAGAGGAGGCCGTCACAGTATGTACGTACATACATACAATTAAATATTTTAAGTCTGTTTTATGACTTCAGATAAGAATCAAGTTTAGGTGATTTGTATTGGTTTTGCTCATAATTAATGTCCCTTCAAGATACAATTACACAGCAATGAACAGGAAGTTCACTCTTTCACTGATGGTATAAGCTGCTGTAGCCAGCTGTCTTTCTGATAATATTATTTTTGAAATGTCTTCATGGTTACCATTATACCTGTTTCCATGGTATTTTAGTGGAACCTATAAAATCAATTATTTCCATGTTTCCTTTCTGCTCTGAAAAGATTTGCCAATGCATGTAGTTTTCCAGCTAGCATTTGGATAGCTATGTCCCTTTAATGTACTTGGGACAGTCTGTGGTATAATTATGTTAACATTAGTCTTGATTTCTCATTGGAGGTGTTGGAGGAATTTCATATAACACAGAAATGTATGATCTTTCAATGTAATAATGTGATTGTTGTATATTATAATGTTAAGTTTTCAAGTTTTCAAAGATACCATTCATAGCTACACTGGAAATTAGCATCTGACCTAATATGTTAAATGATTTGTCATTGACTGTACTGGAATCTTGCCAAGCAATCTAGGCATGTATTTGTTGTCTGCATTGTTTCTAAAATGGTTGCTGCTGCTGCTGTTCACCTTAGGAATAGGGAACAACAAAGTATGACAAGGTAAGAAAGACCATGCAAATTTCTCCGACTTTAAAGATTTTTTTCCTAATCAGCTTTAAAATAAAATCAAGGAGACAATAATCTAAGAACACATGGTTACGATAGTGCATTATTGAATAGCCATGAAGGGTATCTTAAAACAAGGTTTTACTAAGCTGTTGGTTCATTCTTTGAATAGTGATGGGGGTGTCACTCAAACTAAGGCAATGTTTCATCCCCATGCATTCTGATGAAGCAAATAATTTTAACAATATCATTTGCTGATGTTTTAAATTGCTAAAACATTGCTGAATGTAGAAAGCTAATAATTCTCAGGATGGAAAGGATATGGTGTAAAGCAGAAACAAATGCAGGAAAACCTTTGAAATGTGCCAGTATTTCAGTGCTGCTAATCCAATGTCAAAACAGAATTAGCATTTTAACTGTAATATTTTACTTCAATATTCTAAATTCACATGCTTTACAATATCAGCAGTTCTTCAAATTACATATTTTGGACAGGGCTAGAATTCTTGAATTTTTCTATGAGAGCATAGCAGTAAGGTATCACAAAGAAATATTTCATGACATGAGGGCATATTGTGACTGGAGCAAATGTGATGTTTCCTCACATATTGGTGCACAAGCCATCCCTACCATGACATAAGATGCCACTGCAGCAGTGGAAAATGAGCATAAGCAGAATGTTGGTGAGGCATATAAAAGGGAGGGCGAGAAAGTGCAGAACCAGAACATAAAAAAGCTTTGGAAAAAGGAAAACATGCATGCAATCCTTTTCTCACTCAAGGTTCAATCCTTTCCTAGCAATGGCAAATGGTTATTTCTGTCGAAAGAAAAGTGATATATTTAACCATGAAGATAAACTCAGCACATTTTGGGCCACCTGAACTGAGACACATGGTAGGGGATGACATGTCCTGAAATAATAACCAATAGATACCAGAAGTCAAATAAAAGTTAAATGGAATAAAGGAGGATCAAGAAGAGGATAAGCAGACTGGCACATGTAGAGTAACTTCATGACCAAGTTATTTTCACATTGTACTGTGTCACACACATGTGTACAAATATCTTCCTGGAGAGAATAGCTGGGATTTGAATTGATAACCAAAGACTTTACATTCCGCTATGCACTCACTTGTAATAGCCACAGTAGATAGACAAGGCTTTGGCCATGATTATTCACTAGAGTTGGCATAAATCAGAAAAAATGTGATTCTATTTTATTTGTGATTTGTCAATGTTGATAAATCACAAATAATGAATTTACGATTTTTTTTTCTGATAAATTGATTCATCATTTTTGCCTTTAAAACCCTATTGATTCATCATCATTTTTGCCTTTAAAATCCTATAAAATGGCTCCCAAGCACCTAGGGATGCTTCTGCAAAATGCGGAGATGTTTCCCTCAGCTCTCCTCTACAAGCCATGCAGGTTGGCTGACATTTGGGTTTTGGATGTCTGAGTTATACACTCACAACACCCCCCCCAGGAAAATTTCCCCCACAGACCAAGTGACACCAAAATAATTGAGAAGTTTCCCCTCACTTTCCTCTACAAT